CCCGGAACGCGGAGGCGGGGGCCGGCCTCGGGCCGAACGGGCCGGCGGCTGGGAGGCGCGGGGATGTGGTCCGCCCGCCACGTGGCGGCGCCTGGCTGGCTGCGGCGCTGCGTCCGGTCGGATCGAACGTGTCCGGCCGGCGCGGTGGATCTTTTTTTTTTGGACTAGGGTTTCGACGGGGAAGAAGATCCGAATTTGGAGGGGCTATATATAGGCATAAGTGGAGCTAGGAGAGTCCAAATGAGGTGCGATTTTCAGCCACGCGATAGTGATCGAACGCTCTAGGATATGGAGCAGAGTTTGGTGGGTTTTGGGCCAAATTGGAGGGGTGTTGGGCTGCAACACACACGAGGCCTTTTCGGTCCCTCGGTTAACCGTTGGAGTATCAAACGAAGTCCAAATGATACGAAACTTGACAGGCGGTCTACCGGTAGTAAACCAAGGCCGCATGACAAGTCTCGGTCCAATCCGGAAATGTTTAATCCCCACACACGAAAGAAAGCTAGAAATGGCCACCGGAGGAGAACGAAGCGCCGGAATGCAAAACGGACAACGGGGAAAATGCTCGAATGCATGAGACGAACACGTATGCGAATGCAATGCACATGATGACATGATATAAGATGCATGAAAATGAAAACAACACACAGAGACAAACCCGAACCCGAGGAAATAAGTATAACTTAACGCCGAAAACGGCAAGAGTTGGAGTACAAATTGGGAAAGTTACATCCGGGGTGTTACACCCTGTGCCTCGTCAAGCCTTTTGTTAACAAGCTCGATGTCGGCGTCTGCCGCATCCAACTGCCATTCTAAATGGGCAAACTCGCTAGTCCGGCTGGCCACCGGAGCTTCCATCACCTGCACAGAGAGGCAGTATGGTTATTACCTGGGAATATGATCCTCTGTTCGTCGCCGTTTCCAACGACAACCAGAGTCTCAGGGGCTACTATCTACACAGGGCACACCTAGCATGTGCAGGACTATCATACATTCTTTTACGTACCTCAAAGCCTGTCAGCAGACTCATAAAAGCTTCATGCAATCCGCTTTCGGCGGACGATATTCTCTCCATCACCGTATTCATCAGCACACGGTGTTCATCTGAGATGGCCGCTCGCCCCACCAACTCCCTCAGAACATCCGATCGCACACTAGACGGTGCCGGACTCTTTTGTCCGCTCACTTCGGGAGCCGGACACTGGGAGCTTCGGGGGTCAATGGGATTATCTTCTGGCCTCACCGGACTCGGAGAGGCCCTCCGCGACGACACTTCAGGGTCGCCCGCTTCTGGAGCATAGGAGTCCGGAGGAGGCGTTTCGCTTTCCATCATCTCTGGAAGAAGATCCCCCGAAGACGAGCTCATTAGAGAGGGGCTAAGGCCCGAACTGCAAAGATATATGCGGTGGTTATTTTCTCAGAAGAAAAAGATGGCATATCTGTACTATTAAAGTATTTCGGGTCACTTACGACTCGCGGGAGAATTGATCCCCCCGCGGACTTTGTGCGGCAACATCGCCCCCCAAGGTAGGACCCTCTGTGGGAGACTTCTTCTCCCGTTTGAAAGCTTCGGCTTCCGAATCCCCGGGCGCAGTCATTTTCCTCTTCTGGTCGTCTTCCTTCATGGAGACGCTCGCTCCCTCAGTTAGAATGGGCAGCGTTGGGGGCCCGCGTCCGCCCGTATTATCCTCCACAGTATCTTCCTCCAAGGGCTCCGGGCAATGTGCGGTCTGGAGCATCTTTTCCAATACCGGATTTTCCAAACCCTCAGGGAGGGGGGCCGAACACTGAATCAACTTCGCCTTTGTTAGCCAGTCCTGGTCAAAAAGCGAACCCTCAGAAATAACTTCGTAACAAAGGAGAGATAGTATGTTTGGCCGAAAGATGCCTTACCTGTTCGGCGGCGCGGTTACTACTCAGGCCCACGTCCTCGGTGATTTCCGGACACTCCACCTGATGTCCGAAGAATGACTTGTACATCTCCTCATGCGTCAGGCCGAGAAAATTTTGAATGACACACGGTCCCTCGGGATTGAACTCCCACAGGCGAAGAGGCCGACGTTTGCAAGGCTGGACTTGACGAACCAACATAACCTGTATTACCGCAACCAAACTGAAATCTCCATTGAAGAGATCTCGAATGCGGCTTTGCAGTATAGGCACGTCCTTGGATGGACCCCAGCTCAGACCTCTGCTGATCCATGACATCAGTTGTGGTGGAGGGCCCGAGCGGAAAACAGGGGCGGCCGCCCACTTGGCACTCCTAGGAGCCGTGATGTAGAACCACTCCTGTTGCCACAATTCAGACACCTCTGGGATGGAACCTTTGGGCCATGGAGCTCCCATCATCTTGCGTATTGAGGCACCTCCACACGCTGCATGTTGCCCCTCGATCATCTTCGGCTTTACTTCAAAGGTCTTGAGCCATAGGCCAAAGTGAGGGGTAACCCGAAGGAAGACCTCGCACACGACAATAAATGTCGTGATATGAAGAAAGGAGTCCGGAGCTAGATCATGGAAGTCTAACCTGTAATAAAACATCAAACCCCTGACGAAAGGATCCAGAGCAAGGCCTAGACCTCGGAGGAAGTGGGAGACGAACACGACGTTCTCGTTGGGTTCGGGGGTGGGGACGGCCTGCCCTCGGGGAGGCAGCCGATGCAAAATCTCGGCGGTCAGATATCTGGCCTCCCTCAACTTTTTGATGTCTTATTCCGTGACGGAGGAAGGCATCCATCGGCCTTGAAGGCTAGATCCGGACATGACTGGAGGTTCGGAGCACCTGACCTGAACTTTGGGCGTTTGAGCTTGAGGTGGGGGAAGGATTCAATTGAGCACGGGAGGGAAAAATAAAAGCCTTGTCCCTTTATAAAGAGGGTGAATATCAAGCGTCCTCTCCGTGTCCGTTTGGACTTGCCTATAATCTAGGAGTCCTAGAAGCGGTTGGGTTACCCACGCCCGTATTGATGAGAATCCCGGAATAAGGGGACACGATCTCTGCTTTAACAAGACATGCCAAGGAAACCGCCTTGCATGACGCACTGAGGTGGGATAATGAAATGACTCGGATAAAGGCTTGGCCGTGGTGTGTTACACTACGGAGTACGTCGGCAGATTAGATTTGTGTAAATATTATTCTCTCTATGGCAATATGTGAAAACTTATTTTGCAGAGCCGGACACTATCTTTGTGTTCAAAATCTTCTATAAAGTACTTGGAGGAGGAACCCGCCTTGCAATGCCGAAGACAATCTGCGCGCCGGACTCGTCATCATTGAAGTCTGGTTCAGGGGCTACTGAGGGAGTCCTGGATTAGGGGGTGTTCGGATAGCTGGACTATACCTTCAGCCGGACTCCTGGACTATGAAGATACAAGATTGAAGACTCCGTCCCGTGTCCGGAAGGGACTTTCCTTAGCGTGGAAGGCAAGCTTGGCGATACGGATATGTAGATCTCCTACCATTGTAACCGACTTTGTGTAACCCTAACCCTCTCCGGTGTCTATATAAACCGGAGGGTTTTAGTCCGTAGGACAACATACACAACAACAATCATACCATAGGCTAGCTTCTAGGATTTAGCCTCTCCGATCTCGTGGTAGATCTACTCTTGTACTACCCATATCATCAATATTAATCAAGCAGGACGTAGGATTTTACCTCCATCGAGAGGGCCCGAACCTGGGTAAAACTTCGTGTCCCTTGCCTCCTGTTACCATCCGGCCTAGACGCACAGTTCAGGACCCCCTACCCGAGATCCGCCGGTTTTGACACCGACAAAAGTGCTCAAATCTATTCCCAAGACAGTGCTTAACAACATCCACCGTTACAGTTTCCAACTTAGTTTCCTGCAAGCAAACCACACACGGATTTGGCGCCGCGACCACCTGGGCAATGGCCGACCTACGGGCAGGGCTATTGAGGCCTCGGACATTCCACACCAAAGTTTTCAGAGGAGCAAGCGTCATGATTGCAGCCTACCAGTGCGTCCCCAGCGAGGCAGTTAATGCCCGCTCACCACCACGTCTCCGTCCTCAAACAAAGGTAGCACCGAGGGCTCCCATCCAAACAACGCCAAGATGGCCTTGATGTGTGTGTCCGTCAAGGGCTGGTTGAACAGCTCGACGTACGCCTGCAGCGCCTTGTCAGAGATGACGTCTCCCTCATTCGCAACATGGAGTGCTGATCCGTAAAGTTCTCGGTTCTTATGCGCGATATAAGGACCGTTGATATACGGGGTCTGTTAGAGATGCTTTAATTTACCAACTCTGGTTGCATCCTCAACGGCGGAGTGCCTTTTCCTTATAGATAAACAAACTTTGCATACTCCAACCTAGTCACCGTTCCTCATCTGGGTTGTGTCAATGAGTGGCATCTTTCTACTTTGGTACGCGTATAAAGCAGAAATTCCTGCCCCATTTTTTACTGAAGAAAAAAGCAAGTCAGCCGGCCGTCGGTCTCACCCTCTCAACGCTTCTGGAGGCTTCCGGCGGCGGGTGGAGACCCACCACCACCACTCCACGAGCTTCTTTTCTGGTAAGTTCTGCCCGCGCGCAACTTGCTCGCACGACACCGGCCCACCTCGTCCGCTCGTGAACGTTCGTTCCTACGCCACCCTGCGCTCCTGCTCTCCGCTTCGCCTCCGGCCACCTGCCGACAAGTCGACAACATCCCGGCGACAAGCTCGACAGCGACCATACGTAAAAGGAGGTGGTACCTGCGCCATGGCCGACGCCGACCTCTACGCCGTCCTGGGGCTCAAGAGGGAGTGCTCTGACGCCGACCTCCGGCTCGCCTACCGGAGGCTCGCCATGGTGAGTCGTTCGTGGACCTTCGCGTGTCTCCACTCTCCAGTAATTCGAGTTGATTCCGTACCCGTACGTGAATCTGTCTGTAATCAGACCGTTCTCTTCGATCTTGTTGTGGCAGACATGGCATCCGGACCGGTGCTCGGCGTCCGGCAGCTCGGCGCGCGTCCAGGGGTGCAACAAGCGGTGTTCATCGGCGATGGGCTCCGGAACGCCGCCAAGGGCCAGTCGTCCGGGGTCCGGCCCCGGCCGTTCAGGGTCAAGCTCCAAGGGAAGTGATCTGAGGCGACGGGAGGAGGCGCCATGGAAGACGACGACGCAGGAAGACACGAGCATCGGCGGCAGGAAGAAGAAACAGAGGCCGTCGACGGGCCACGGCGAGTCGTCCTAGGAGCAGAGATGGAGATATCGGCGCGCCCGGGCCAGCGTTGATGCGCGCCGCGCCGTGAGCAAAACATATTCTGTGACGCCGTGACGGGGATAATGCATTGCAGGCTTGCAGCTAGTGCTCTGTGCGGATCAGAGTGACGGTCAACAAGTTTTGGAGGCAGGCTTTTCAATTAGTTTCTTCGTTTATTCTCTTGATGGATTCTCTTGGCGTAGCACTGGTATTTAAGTTCTAATGTTTTTTTCGAGGAAAGGCCATCAAAGCTAGCTTTATTGATATTAGATAATCGTCACATCGTCAACAAGCTTACTGATCAAGAAGTCAGGAGGCTCGTTTGACCAACTGAGAGAAACTTCATTACAATAACTATGGCTAGCTAACAATATTTAAGTTCTAATGTTAGTGCCACTTTTGTTTGTCATGGCCACCATGAATTTTGCACATTTCTGTCTGTGCCTGTGTGTGGGGTGTTGGGGGCCCGCGCCAGTTGGCCGGTCGCATCCCAAACATCGGATGAGTCTTTCCTAGCCATTGGATCTGATCACCTCTTCGTCCCCGACCTCCCAACCCCGCGTCCTTTTCTTCTTTCCTCGGATCACACCGACGATCGCAAGGGAGAGAGGAGAGAAGTATACATTAATGTTGTGTCAATGCATTAAATTTTTTTTGGAGTCTTTTGAACAATTTTAAATGTGCATTGAGATCCGGGGGAGACACAACGACCGCATTCGTCAGTGTAGCAAAATCTGATGACGATTATAAAAAAAATCATCCTTGCCATCAACATCAGCTCCAGCATCGGTGGTACTAGCTACAGCATTTCTCATGGATGCATCACCGGGCTTGACGATCCGCGGTGGCCAGATCAAGCATCGATGGTATTGCTTGCAGTTATTTTTCGATGGACGCGTCGTCAGGGGTTGCCGATGACAGCATCCAAGGCAGTCGGTTTCAACAACCTTGGTGGCCGGTTCCAGCATCGGTGTTACTAGCTACAACTTTTTCGATGGACATATCGTCGGGGGTTGCCGCGACCTTGCAGTTCTAGCACCCGCGGTGGGCGTTGGAACCATATTTCTTTTCGATGGACGCAACACCGGGCGTCACTGGTGCTAGCATCTGAGGCAGCCGACACCTATGGTGACCTGCATCTGAGGCAACCGACACCTATGGTGACCGGTTCCAGCATCGGTGGTGCTGGTTGCAATTTTTCTCGATGGACGCATCGCCGGTGGTTGCCGGTGCCAGCATCTGCGGCAGTCGGTTCCACCATCGGTGGTGTTGTTATTTTCTTTTCGTCGGACGCAATCGAGAGTTGTCGGTGCCAGTACCCGCGGTGGCCGGTTCCAGCTTTTTTCGACGAACGCAATGTCACCAGGGCCAGAATCTGCGACATCCGGTTCCAAAATTGATGGTGCTAGTTGCAACTTTTTTTATGTACGCAACACCGAGCATTGCCGATACGAGCATCCGGGACAGCCGGTTCCAACATTGATGGTGCTAGTTGCAACTTTTTTTATGTATGCAACACCGAGCATTGCCGGTACGAGCATCTGGGACAGCCAGTTCCAACGCCGATGGTGGTCGGTTCCAGCATTGGTGTTGCTGGTTGCAGCATCTCGCGGTGGCCGGTTTTCTATATCCCTATATAGTTGGTCGTTTGATGAAGCCAATCCGACGGTACTGAAAGTGCAACTATCCCTGAATGGTTTTGATAATTCGTAACAACATATAGCTGATTAAGCTAATGCTATTTTAAAATAGATATTTCAGGAAAGCTCAATGATTGGCATGTCATGGATTAGAAAGTGGACTTCTCAAAAGATTGGCTCAAGCTCAAAGCACAAGACTCTACATTTTACTTTTAGTGATGCAAGATCACATTGAGTCCATATGTAAAGGCAATAGTATTAAAAGAGGGTGAGGTGTTGCTTAATGAGTTACTTGCTCAAAATGCTTAGTGATATGCTTCAAAAACCTTCAACTACTATCTCATATCCACATATGTCCCAAACCAAAAGTCAAACTCGGGCCCACCGAAATTTTCTATCCGGCGCCACCGAGTTCACTTGACATAGCCACTGCCACAAACCCTAGTCACTTCGGTCTCACCGATAGGGATCTCGGTCTCACCGAGATGGGATTGCAACCTCTCTGTTTCCCTTCGTAACATTTTGGTCCAACCGAGATGAGCGATCGGTCCCACCAACATTGAAATGCAAACTCTCTGTTTCCCCTTCGTAACATTTTGGCCTAACCGAGATGAGTGAATCGGTCCCACTGAGTTTGCCTGACCAACTCTCTGTTTGTCTATTACCAAAATCGGTCTCACCAAGTTTGTGTAACCGGTCTCACCGAGATTACGTTATGCCCTAACCCTAATGAAATCGATCCCACCGAGTTGATCATGTCGGTCCCACCGAAATGCCTAACGGTCACATTATGAACCAAATCAGTTCGATCGAGTTTTATAATTCGGTCCCACTGAGTTTGGTGATTTGTGTGTAACAGTTAGATTTTGTGTGGAGGCTGTATATACCCCTCCACCCACTCTTCATTCGTGGAGAGAGCCATCAGAACATGCCTACACTTCCAACATACATTTTCTGAAAGAGAACCACATATACTTGTGTTGAGGTCAAGATATTCCATTCCAACGACATAAATCTTGATCTCTAGCATTCCCCAAGTTGCTTTCCACTCAAATCATCTTTCTACCAAATCCAATCCTATGAGAGAGAGTTGAGTGTTGGGGAGACTATCATTTGAAGCACAAGAGCAAGGAGTTCATCATCAACACACTATCTATTACCTTTTGGAGAGTGGTGTCTCCTAGATTGGTTATGTGTCACTTGGGAGCCTCCGTCAAGATTGTGGAGTTGAACCAATGAGTTTGTACGGGCAAGGAGATCGCCTACTTAGTGAAGATCTACCCTAGTGAGGCAAGTCCTTCGTGGGAGATGGCCATGGTGGGCTAGACAACGTTGCTTCTCCGTGGACCCTTCATGGGTGGAGCCCTCCATGGACTCGTGCAACCATTACCCTTCGTGGGTTGAAGTCTCCATCAACGTGGATGTACGATAGCACCATCTATCGGAACCACGCCAAAAATCTTAGTGTCTACATTGCGTTTGCTCCCTCCAAATTCCTCCCTTTACCTTCATATGCAATTGTTTTACATTCCGCTGCTACGCTCTTAGAATTGCATGTGTAGGTTGATTACTTGAATTGTGTTAAGTTGTTAAAATCTGCCAAGACTTAAAATTAGGAAAATGCTAGATTTTTATTTGTTCAAGTAGTCTAATCACCCCCTCTAGACATACTTTCGATCCTACAAATGGTATCAGAGCTTTGGTCTCCATTTGTCTTAATTTCCATAGCTTTTGGTGATCATAGCATTGGGTTCACAACCAAGGAGAGTATGGCGTCTAGTGAGAGAAATTACCACCGTAGAGGTCCTTACTTTGATGGTACTAATTTTGCTAGTTGGAAGCATAAGATGAAAATGCATATTCTTGGACATAACCCCGCCGTTTGGGCTATTGTGTGTATTGGCTTGCAAGGTGAATTCTTTGATAGGAGAGAACCGAACCGTGAAGCTACCACGGAAGAGTTGAAGATGCTGCAATACAATGCTCAAGCTTGTGATATTCTCTTCAACGGATTGTGCCCTGAAGAATTCAACAAAATCAGCCGTCTTGAGAATGCAAAGGAAATTTGGGATACTTTGATTGATATGCACGAAGGTACCGACTCCATCAAGGAATCCAAATTGGATGTGCTTCAAAGTCAACTTGACAAGTTTAAAATAAAGAATGGTGAAGATGTCGCTGAAATGTACTCTAGGCTTGCTCTCATCACAAATGAGATTGCCGGCTTAGGAAGTGGAGAGATGACAGATAGATTCATCATCAAGAAGATCCTAAGAGCCTTGGATGGAAAATATGATACTGTGTGCACATTGATCTAAATGATGCCCAATTACAAAGATCTCAAGCCAACGGAAGTCATTGGAAAAATTGTTGCTCATGAGATGTCACTCAAGGATAAGGAAGAGCTTCACAACAAGTCAAGTGGTGCTTACAAAGCCTCATGTGATGCTCCCACATCATGAAGTGAGAAACAAACCTTCAACGAAGAATTGAGCCTAATGGTGAAGAACTTCAACAAGTTTTACAAGAGTAGAAGTAAGGAAATAAGTTTCAAGTCAAGGTCCTACAATGACAAAAGATCTTCAAGTCGTGAACGCAATTGCTACAATTGTGGAAGACCCGGACACTATTCCAATGAGTGTACGGCTCCCTACAAAAGAAGAGAAGATTCTCCCAAAAGAAGAAGTAGAAGAGAAGAATCACCACCAAGAGAGAGAAGGAGTAGAGATGACCGTTATGAACGAAGAACATCACGGAGAAGCAATGATTCAGAAAGGAAGGACAATTCATCAAAGAGCTACACAAAACGAAGACATCAAGCTCATGTTGGTGAATGGGTATCTGGCTCCAACTCCGACAATCACTCTGAAAGAATTTATCACTTTGACTCCGAATATACCCAAGATGAAGGTGTTGCCGGTCTAGCACTTGTGTCAACCAACTCCTACGACATATTTGACTCACCAAATGAAGGAATTGGAAGATGCTTCATGGCTATAGGTCCAAAGGTATCACACCCCGAGTATGTTGATTTCAATAGTGATGAAGATGATTTGCTAGGTGATGATGATTTACTTGTTGACAACTCTAGTTATGAAAACTATGATGAACTTGCTATTAATCATGCTAATCAAGATAAAACGAATGACAATGATAAGAAGGAGATTGAGCGTCTAACTAAAGAACTAAACACTTTTAAGTTAGCTCATGAAACTACCTTGGAAGATCATTGATAACTT